TTTTATATAATTAAGTACAATTATATAAAATTATATATATTTTTATATAATTTTATATAATTATGTATAAAACATTTTTCCCGAGACCTCAATGCAATATATTCTATTTTAATTATCGCAAAATAATTTGAGAATAATTTGCGAAAAATAAAAAATGATTCTATTTCGTCTATAAGTTTACTATCTATAAATTTGTTTTCAAACGTTATTTATTATTTTGTACATTTATTATCGCAATATCCAAGGATATATGTATTTTTAAAATATCTCACGATATACACAGATCATTCATTTTGAGAAAAACTATCGACGATGTGCCATTTGTTATCGCATTTATATAATATTTCGAACAGACTAGACGGACGCATCAGTAAGTCGCTCCAGACGTTTACGCAGATCCGTTGCGTTACTTGGAAACAGCGACGATTGATGAAATCTAAACTCGGCGGTGGCATCACGCTTCGAAGTGGACGAAGTCCAGAAATTATGACGTTCACATATCGGCGTTTCCATCTGGCGAATGTCCACGTATGTTAAACATACGCGATAAATTGCACCCACTTGTTCGAATTTTTCCGTTTTCTCGGAAATATATTCCATAAGATGACGAACTCGTTAAAAGTCGCAAGTGATATTTTCGTAATGTGCCAGAGCTTCGAGTTTACTTTCCGTTATATCTCGCTATTTGTTTAGACAAATCTATTTAGACAAATCGAAAATAAATGTCCTATTGAAAGTAAATAGTCTATTTTTATCTATTTTTATCTATTTCAATATTAAGCGATAAACTAATGTCCGCAAAAACAGAGTCTCTTGAGTTTTTAAAGTGAAAAAATGAAGTTCAAATATTTTTAAGACTATATGTATTTTTCGTCCTCTTTCTGTCGCTTTTTAAACATGTTATATTGATTGTAGCGCAAGAATAAGCAAAGCTAATGTGCGACCTACATTGAATACCATAATATAAGCTGTATAAGTTTGCGAATCGCTGAACTGGACCTTTTTATGCGTTTTAAACTATGTATCAATTAACGCTAAAGCGCGCTCGAATATTTAAGATTAGGATTTATAAAACACGTATATGTATGTACTAAAAATAGAACATCAGATGTCATGCAGCTGTCAGTAAGAAAACTTTCTTGTTAAATTACGAAATTCTGCTGAAAGTAGCCTTCAGAATTGGAAAAAAAATACATTTATATACTTACACATATATTAGTCTCTTAATTAATTTTATAGGTACGTTAAAAAAATTTATTAAATTTTAATAAATATTTGTTTAAATATTTATTAAAGTACTAACTATTGAATATTTACAATTAATAAATTTATTTAATAAAAGAAATGATCAAATTAATCATTTTAAATCAAATTAATGCTTCTTGTAACAAATAAATATGTTTACATTTAATAAATATTTAATAAATATTTATTTAGTTAATACTGTATTTAGTTAATACAAGTGTTTATTAAAATTTAGGACATTTTTTTAGTGTAAACTTATTCTAACTCTATATTTCTAATAAATCTCACAACTGAAATTTATGTTGCCTAAAAGTTACGAATAAAATCATTTATTTAGTTTTCATTTTTTCCTTCTTATCAGAATTTTCATCACTGTGTTTTGTTTTCGTCGCTTTTAGTGCCTATTATAAAATATAATATAAGATACGATGCGTCTGCAATGCCAAGATAACTTTCCCGCGGATCTGTCCAAACGCGAATCGTAATTTAATTTAGGGTCATACCGTGTCCTGTAAATAGGGCCGTGGTGTCACAATCTGGTTACGAGCGGGGGTGTGGGAATACCCACCCAAAAACTAGGCAACAAGCCAAAAGTACTTAAGTATCGGCGGAGGGGATGATGCCATATAGCGTCGCGACGCGCGGCGTCCGATTTAGTTTCTACTCGACATCATCGAAGTTTCAAAGTCACACGCAATCCGGAAAAGTCATCGTCGCCGAGGAAACAACGCAACAACAGAATGCCGGTACGTTTCCTTATAGGCAAGAGAGACGCTACCTCTTTTTTTTTTACACTCCAGTGACGATTAATAGCGATTCAATTCTCGCGTGACACTTCTAGTAAAAAACTCACATTTTAATATACATCTATTTTTTTTATACAAATAATATGAAGTGTATGACTTGACATCGATGAAACGTACGAAAATTACGATCAGAACTTTGATATATTTTTCTAAATAAAGAAACAATTAAATTAATATTCTGTAATGTTATTATGAATATATCTTGTAATAGACACGGATTATAAAAATACAATTTTTTATTGTTTAATTATATCCGATATTATCCACCATTCAAAAGTTTTTTACATATGACTCCTACAGTATTTATAGTTACGATTCAATTCATTATTCTGACACATCGTTTTACGTCAGTGTTCTTCTTTGATGTATGTTTCTCGTCTACATCCGGTGTATTTATATCCTAACATAAATAACGTTATGCAACACATACTCTTCGATGTGATCTCAAAAAACTATAGAACCAAAACAAATGTATAGTGAATCAATGGATAGCTTAACGATAAGCTTCAATAAATTTGGGCGTGGTTTGCTACAGAGAAGCTTAGTAACTATTTCTGTTTTCCTTACATAAAAAGAAAATTTGCAATATTATTTAATTCTTATTTAAATTATCAATTATTGCCAAAAACTATTATTTTTAAAAGATTAATATTATTCGTTAAACTGTTAATACGTTAGAAATAGACAAACTGTTTATTTAAAATGTTAAAAAGTGTTGCGTTTATAAAGTAAAAAAGTTAAAAAGTTACATGCATTTATAAAGATCTGAAATAACCAATTTATTAAAATAATAGATTTAGCCTAAGCAAAACAACAAGTTATAATATCAAAATGATATTAAAATGAATCGGAAATGATTGAAAAATGATTTTTAATCATTTTGGGGTCATTTTGACATCATTTTGATATCATAATGATTTGTTGTTTTGCTTGGGAGAAAAATTTACACATTTCCTTTAATTTTTTATTATTAAATATATCCTAGCTTATTCATTTTATTCATTCATTCAATGGCCATCGTTTATCATCTCCATGTTCGAATTAATCATTATATACGGCTCAATTTCTTATCGCCTTATTTCATATCGCAATTTATTACATAAGTGGTTCTGGATTTATGAAATAAATCCTACGGAATTTCTGGATTCTACCCGCTACGCTCAATTGTAATGTCCGATTTATGCGTTGAGGCAACACGCGTGATGCGTCTCCGGCATTGGTTGGCGATAAATCAAGTCGGCACAGGTGCACCAATTCGCTAAAGTTGTAAATTATGAGGGCCCAATCTAATTCAACTTTAAATTTAGTGAGCGGCATCCGCGTCACGTTGAAACGTCCTCGGAAACGATGAGGGCGCGCTCGCACGAACGGAAGCCGCTCCCCTTGAAAATGGATCTTAAAATATCATCCCGAGTGGATGCGACGGAGAACACGTTGCCTCGACTGGTCTGACACTTTGCAGATAAGAAATTGGAAATTCTAAATCGACGCAGCTTCGCGGCGTACAAATTCAAAGACATTACTGTCAATCTTATGGCCAACATCAGCGCAGCGAAAATTGTTAACTTTTTGCCAGAATATTGTGGATATAATATTATATCTACTTTATTAATGTCTTAAAAAAAAAAATATTTATTGCTCGATGTTTGTACAATTCCGATTTTATAAATTCAAGTTTTAGCTTTGCAATATTGTTACTTTTCTAATAAATATTACATTCGTAACAAATGTAATACATTACATTGTCAAACTAAAAATAATTGCATTAATGCCCGTTTCTATCTCAATGTAGTGTTTAATTTTAATCTTGATTAATTAACTCGTCATCTTTTTCTAATTCTTAAGAATTAAAAGGGAAGAGTAAATTGAATCGAGATTAAAATTAATCTATAATGGTAGAAATGGGTATAACTTACTAAAAATAACTACACGTGCATTTACCGCGTACAATCATGAACGAATTGTAACTTATCGTGCACATCATGAGCTCAATTAAAGTCACCTTCATTATATTCGGAAGAGTTTTGGTTGAAACCACATGGCCGAGATGTAGCTTATAAACTTGTGCAACTGCGCTTCTCTGACGGCGATGTTATTACAAAATTGCATAAGTCCATTGTATCTATATCGTCAATATCTAACCAACACCTCCCAAAATATCGCATGGATGAACGAATTGCGAGCCGCGAAACAATCACAACGGTGTTTATTGCGCGCCGAATCCGCTTTGAATCAACGGCTTTTCAGGGTTACCATTTAATTTTGCTATAAATACTGATTTATAGCTTCGACTGAGAGATGCCAGATTCCGTTTATGTCAGGCAGCTGTTCGAGTCATAAATCGTCTGGTGTGAACGTTAGAAATTCGGAACTCGTGAAAGCTATTAAGATGTTATTCGTTTTTCACAAAACATTTGCCGTGAAATTGTTGTGAAATTTATGCGTCTGATTAAAGCGGAACTAATTATATACTAATTATATACTAAAAAAGAGTTTGGTAATAGCTGTTTGATAAAATAATGCTAATTAAATGTTTGGTTAATATAATTAAAAATAATTTTATTTTCCCAAATATTTAATAAATATTATCAAACGATTTGATAATATTATTTATATATTACTAAATTCTTTTTTCAACATACAAGCATATGGAAATATATGTATATTATTTTTTATGCGAAGATTTAATGCACATATCATTATTTATAGAAATATAATAACATTAATAATAACACATATTATAATAATTATATATTTTTAACATAAAAATTTTTGTATCGATTCATTCAGAGAATTCTCTATTGTATATATGAATTAAAATTGCAATTTATTATAAATGCACGCGGATGAGCCAGACAGATGTTCGACAGTTTAACACCGTTTTGCCAGTTTTCAAAAGCCAAGGCATCAGTCGCCGTATTTTATTTTCGATGTTGGACTTTACGCGGGTAATTCTACACCACTACTCACCGCAGTCTATTTCTGATACAGTCATTTTTAAGACATCCACTAAATGCTTATGATCTTCACATGCACAGTCCGCGTGGGAATTACAAATTTTATGCCCATTTCCAATGTATAAATTAATTTGGGGTTAATTTCTCATTCTTTATTATTTTTTAATTTTTAGAAAGAAAATGATGAAAAGTGAATTGAACAGAAATTAGAATTAATCTACGTTGATAGAGCATTAGACAGCAAATGAGATAAAAGATAGTATTAAAAATAATCACTCTGACACGCGTTTGTATGAAAAGTTAATTTATATGTATATTATAGTTATATAATAATATATTCTTTCAGAGCCGTAATAAGGAACAGGAAGCCGAGATTCTCGCCTGGATCGAAGCTGTATTAGGCGAGAAGCTCCCATCAGGAAACTACGATGACATTTTAAAAGATGGTGTAATCCTTTGTAATTTAATCAACAAACTTGCGCCTGGATCGGTCAAAAAGATTCAAAGCAAGGGCACCAATTTCCAGCTTATGGAAAATATTCAAAGGTAAACAAGAGCAAACTATTCTTTCTTTACCTTACTTCATATAATTTTTATAAAACTATGATTTTTATAAAACTTTATATATTTTTTACTACTGTCAATAGATTCCAAGCGGCGATCAAAAACTACGGTGTCCCACAAGAAGAAATTTTTCAAACAGCTGATCTCTTCGAGAAACGCAACATCCCTCAAGTCACCCTTTGCTTATATGCTTTAGGCAGACTTGTGAGTAGTTCGCAATAGTTTGATTGATTATTAAAATCATAATTAAAGCTAATAAAATATTTATTATTCACAATATATTTTTATGTGATATAAAAAAAAAGAATATAATAAAGAAACTTTCAATGGAACGGATATTTATATTTAAATTTTTAGAAAATATTGAGTTTTTTATTAATTTAAAAAAATAAACAACACTTTTTATACACCTTAAATATAAAAAACAGTAAAAGTTTTTATATACAAAGAAAAAAGTTAAAACTTCCTATTTGATACATGTAAAATTAGCACAGCATAATTTGCCACAGTTCATTTATATCTCTAATTAATTAATAAGTATTTGTGAAATTTAATTGGAGTAAATGTTTTTATAATAGACGCAGAAACATGATTGGACCGGGCCAAGTTTAGGACCGAAAATGGCGGAAGAGAACAAGAGAACCTTTACTGATGATCAACTTCGTGCTAGCGAGGGTCACCTGGGTCTTCAGATGGGATACAATAAGGGTGCCAGCCAGGCTGGTCACGGTGGCTTTGGAAATACTCGACATATGTAAATTTTTTTTATAGAAATGAATTAACACACATCTGTATCATATACGTCTACAATGACTGGTTAGACTACCGAACACAGGAAGTATGATATAATAAAAATATTGAAATAAGTCGCATTTTTTAACCGCGCGTATTAAATATGTGTGTGAAATAATAAGGATATTACGATTTAAAGTATATTTGTCAAATTTATGAAGTCCGTAAAAAATTGCAAATAACTGATCTGTTTTTTTATCGGTTATTATTGACATAAATGAGATCGAATAATTTGTGTTGACACTACTTTCTTTACAAGAATAATCATTTCTTTCATACTGTCGCGAATGTATACGCATTCTCTACAGTATTTATTATTAACTTGACTTATATTATCCTTTAATCAATCTTTAGATATCGATGTTTAGTTAATTTATTCATTATTTTATTCTTTTTTCTATATCAAATATTAATTATGTATAGCAATATTCATTTTCTATCTAGTCATGGAAGAATATATTTTTTATACGAATTCGTAACAGTATGTAATTTACATGTAAATGTAAGTCCGAAACTCTATCCGTGTGTGTCATTTATGATATCGTACAAACGCGCTTTATATTTTATGAAAAATCCTAATTTCCATTACATATACATATACATTAGTATATATACACAAACAATATATCATTTACACAAACAACTATTACAATCACACACAACTTTTATATTAAACATAATACAATACATTATATAATACATTATATAATACAAATACAAGTAATTACATACATACATATTCATTGCCGATTTTTGAAATAAAATATTACGTTAATATAACAAGATATGTCAAAGAAAATATGAATATTAAAGACATAAATTAAAAACTAAAAGATACAATATTATTATTACGTTCACATTTAACAATTAAACGGACACATAAACACAAGCTGCATGACACATACACGTATCTCAACATTATACTACATTATACTACATTATACTGACAGACAAAAGATCCAACTAATATTTACAAATTTAGAATACTATTTAGAAATAGTTTTTAAGTTTTACAATATGATTAGCTTTACCTTTTGCGATTTTAAATTATGTCATAAGTGTGCATCTACCATATATAAATTAAACTTTATAAATTTCTACTTTTTTTTATAAATTAGCAAAATTTTACAAATTTGTATCAATATTCGAATTATATACGTGTGTAATTTATGAACAAATAAATCCATCTTTCAGAAAATTATTATTTTCTGTAACTTTCATCCTCGTTAATTTACGCAACATATTCTGTAAGTAAAATTTATCACTGTTTTAAAACGCATGGAAACGTATAGGTTAAATAAGTTTCGGAAAGTTATGCTAATGGTACCAACGATTAAGGCAAACGAATGTAATGATCGAGGAAACTTCTTAGAAATACTGATATTGGATTTGGAATTAAGCCAATTTCATGCATATTCATACACTAGTAATTCTAGGGTAATAAAATTAAACGTGAAACACCATATTGAATCAAAACATCGCTGAAGAAGGTTACAATTATTAATGCAAATATAATAATTTACAAAAGCTGCGATAAAGGATATTTTTGTTAATAAAATCTGATGTATCTTTCATTCGTTTACATGTATATTTTTCTTTGATAACACAATTGTCAATTATTAGAAAGAAATCTAGTCGAACATACTGTAAAAAGAAGTATTTAATTTTAAGATATTAAAATATTTTATTCTTATCTTCATTTTTAAAACATTTGAAGATGTTGTTTTAAATTTTTTCAATAAACAAAATACTATGCGTTTTGTCATTATATTTTGTTTTATGCGCTGCAGCGCGTATCAAACAAAGGATTTTTCTTGCGTTCTGTATCTATCTTCCATCGCGATTTATCTTCCCTCGCGTGCTATTCTTTGCACCCACGCGGGTATAAAAATATCCTCTGTTTGTAAATAAATCAGGAACTCGCGATCACGTCATTCGTGACACGCTTTTCTGAGTTTTTCGTGGAAGCTAATAAGCTCGTTTCGTGCCAACGTGCATATTTCTGGCGCGGTAAAATTTAATTCCTATATAACTTTTGCTTTCCTTGGCAAATCCGAGTGCCTTTCAGTTTATTTCTGGATCGCCGTGGCATACACGGCGACTGCTGCTGGATCCGGATTACAAAATATCACTTTATTCCAAAATGGAGTCGTCCTATCGCGAGAAAAGAATCTCTTATGTGTTTCAGTTCCTCATCAGCAATTGCTGCCGTTTTAAAAGAATTTTGTTAATATTGTATATATAGTCCCAACCTAATTATTATTATTATAGCATTTTTATTGTATCATTTATCGATCTATTAGCGTGATTTACGTAGTATTGCATAAAGATTTGTTCACTCTGAAATTTGATATCAAAAGAAGATTCGGAAGATTATTTGTGTGTATTTTAAATCATTCCGTGTTCGACGTTTGAAAATTACATGCTTTCTAAAAGGAACCACGAACGATAATAAATTTCGGTTAATGATTCATAATGTTGAAAATGTTTCCTGAAAGGAGCGTCTTAGTATGTAGATCAACGAAAATCCCACGGATTGACGTAAGTGTGAGTCAGAGCTTCGAAATAGAAAAATTTCTTCTTCAAACTTTCAGAGATTTTTAAAAATATGTAAGAGCAATATATAGAGAAATCTATCTAAAATCTTGTTTACGCGATATTTATACAAAGAAAGAATTTTTTCTTAGAGTTTACACTGAAAATATGATAATCGTGGGATGACATTATATTTCGAAGAAATATTTTAATGTAAATCTCTCATTCATTAATAAAACTACAATAAAGTATAAAATAAGTTTGATCAATTTTACTGAAGTACACGGTAAAAATCTTTAAAATATTGTATTGTATCACGATACTATTTTCACGGTAAATTTTAAAAGAAAATTTTCTCTAAGTAAAATTTCTATCGCAAAATGAAATAGAAATTAATCATCATATTAATCAGTTTTAAGTGCGTGTTTTTAAGTTTTAAGTGTACCTTTGTTACGCACCAAATTTATAAAAATCAAAAGTTAAAAGGAAAATTTTTTTCAAACTTTCCTAATATTTCTTCATAATTTTTTCGTAATCTTAGTCTTTCTTTATTGTTAATGTTATTATTTTATAGAAAATTTTTTGTTATCATACGAAATATAAGTATAATTATTTTCAACTGACAATAAGATTTAATATATAGCATAAAATAATTGAAGAATTAAAGAATGAAAAGCATTTAACGTTTTAATCTGTAAATCTTTAATTTATAAAAAAAACAACTATCGTAGAATATCCGTAGTAATTATCAAATTTATTTATTCCTATTTGTAATTGCAAAACATTATTTCTTTTCGCAATATAATTTACGGTATGAAGTGTCTATAATAAAATGCAATAAAATAATAATCATCGGAAAATGGACGACATTAAAGAGAAGAGAGACACAGCAATACGGCCCGTATCGCGCTCCGATTTCAAGAAATGGCGCGTCGCTTACCTGCCAAAGTGGGCGTCCAGGCATGGCGGATCTTCAGGTCTCGTCGGGTCTCCTCTCCGGAAAATTATTTTCCGCACTTCGTACACAGAGCCTCTCCACCGTAGCTCAAGCTCAAGCACAAAAAGTGTGCTCCACCGCGGTTGCGCTGCGTATATATGCGTGACAGGTGCGCATACGTGTTGGTGGAACGTGGGGGCGCGTCTATATATGGATCACTTACTCACCACTTACTCCAGACACGAGCGAGATTCATCAGGAATGTCTGTAGGGGGTAGGGAATATAATGGATGGAACTTGCCGATCGACGAAAACGAAATCATATCAATGTCTCATTTCCCAATATTTTATTGGGACTTAATCTTCCGAACTCATTCAATTATATTTTTTATGTTTTACATCTGCAAATTTGAATTATTGTTATTAATCCTCCGCCGGCAACATGAATTTTACTCTTTCATTAGCAACAGAAGTTTTCAAAAAAACAGAATAATTTTTTTGTTCCGGATTATATAAAAATCAGACAAAAATTTTATATATTTGTTAAAACTTTAACATTGAATTTTTGTCATAAAAGATGAATTGTACTTTAGTTATTTTTTACAAATTTAAATTTATCTATTAAAATTTATAATTAAAATATGGATAGTGCTTTTGAAGACTTCAAAAACCGGTGAAGGATTTTCTAAAAGTTTATTCCATTATAATACAATGTTATGTAATTTTAATTCTTTGAAATTAATTAATGCCTTCACGAAGAAAGGCGAAAAAACGATTTTCTCGATGCATCTAAAAATTTAGCTAAATAAAATAATTTTATTTACTATTAAAATAACTAGATGGAAATCTCAAGCATAAGCAATATTGCAAAATATTTTTAAATTCTAGCAACCAGTTTGAGCATCTTACATAATTATTTTGATAGTCCATATTGTTGTGCAAGTATCATATATGAAAAAAAATTGTGTAACAAGATAACAATACTGATTTATCGTTAAGAGTTACTGAATTGGAATCTTGTATTTTCACAGAGAAATAAAACTATAAATTTTATAAAACACAACACATATTTCGGTGCGCTATATGAGAAAAGTGATCTTCTTTTTTTATAATTTTTGGAACTCATTCATATACGCGATCTTCACGGTGAAACATCAGATGACATCAGATTCTTTTTCAGAGGAATGACAAGAAGAAAAGCGGACAAAGAGCGGAAGAATGAATAAGAAAGTAAACAGTGTTCACTAATAAAAACGTGATAATTATCGTTAAGGCTACAAAGTCGAGAGATATTGTACTGAAGTCTCTCTTAAAGTTGAGGCACAGATCTTTATATAACGCATAATGCATAAGAAAATCAAGCCATATAATCAGAATCTTTTATTTCTTGGAAAGAAATATTCTTATGCATTATATTCCATACAGCGCAGAAGATTGAAGCAATATTGCTGCAATGTTGCAATATTACAGATTGCAATGTAATATTGTAGAGGTATTACAGAAATATAAATTAACAATATGCCTGCAAAATGTCAGTAATATGCTTGTAATATTCTACAAACATTGCAAAACTGTAATTCTTTAATTGTTATTATAATAATATAAAAATAATAATAATAATATAAAAATATAAGTTTTTACAATATTTATTTAGTACAGTCTTTTAGTTTAGCCGTTTTGATATAATAACTAATATAATTCATTTTAACTAATATAATTCATTTTAAAAAATTTATTGATCTATTATTCGATGGTCATTTCATTAGCTAAGTTTTAAATTTATTTTTAATTAAATATATAAAATCAAAAGATTGTATAATATCGAGTTTGGATACAATCATGCATCATTATCGGATAAGATGATAAGCAATTAAACTGCTTAAACGATTTATCGAAATATTAATTATGTGATCGATGATGTATTTATATCTGACGAAATGCAAGAATAAATCAACGCCCGAACTTTATTGATAGATTTCTTATCATCATTTTTTAATTGATTTCAATTGATTCAATTTCGAATTAAAAAGAATCATTGCGATTAACTTAATCCATGATTAACTTACCAAGCGACTGTATTATTATATTAATGTGGATAATATTTGTAGTTTGTTCGGGACATACACATACATGCTTTATCTTTACGAATAAATTTATCCCTCAGAATTAATACTATATTTATTGGGATATTTTATGGTTTTATTATAAAAAATTGCTTTTGGAAAGCACATATCACTAAAAATGCGATTTGTAGAAAAATTAAAATTAGTGAGATATATGTATACAACATAGTTTTTATTTTAGTCTTCGTAAAAAATTTATCCAAATACATTATATTGTAATATTGCTGGAATGTTTTGTTGCAATATAATAAAAAGCGGACATCTTAACATTGTTGGAATTTTGCAATAATGATTCAGCAACATTTCGCAACCACCATGCAATATTGCAATGTTTCAGTGAAATCATTCTGCAATGTTTCTGCAAATTTTTCTGTGCTGTATGAGATACTATGATAAAAATCTAGATATTCCAACTCTTATTCTTAAAAAATCTAGGTCCACAATTTTGCTTTAAAAGGCCGTAAACTGTAAGCCGTAAGTTGTAAATGATATATTGACCAGAGAACTTATGCTTTTAGGTCATAAGAATTTTTTTGTCAATTCGCTTAAGTCTAACCAGGATTGGGTAGTGCTAAGTTAAAAAGATAAAAGTTAAGTTAAAAAATTAAAAAGTTAATTAATTGTAACTTAAATTAGTTACATTTTAGACTCTTAACTTTTTAATTTTATTTAGTTACTTTTATTAATAACTATTAATTTTTTATGTAATTTTTTTTAAGTTAAATCTCAGACATAATACGCGGCAATAGTGATAACTTAAAATGAGGTGAAAATTGCAAATTTACTAGGTGTTGACCAATGAAATTATAAATATTCTAATAAATTTTTGCTCTTTTGTAATTTTCACCTCATTTTAAATTACACAATCAACTCCCAGATTTTAATCTGTTAGAAACCGTGTATTTCGATGTATCTAATTTTTGATAAGTTGAAATCTATTATTACTTATTATTAAAATATAACACATCAATAACATCTTCGGCTCATATTGAACGGCTGTTCAGTGCAGAAAGACTTATTTTCAATAACTTGCGGGGAAAGATGTCCGACGAAAATTTCGAAATAATTTTATTACTTAAATTTAATAAGTATATGCGAACAAAATATTCACAAACAGTACACATGATAGTCTATGTAAACATAATAACAGTCAGTATATAAACAAAACATGTAAATAAAATATAGAATATTTTTTAAATAAAGTATGTATTTGTCATTTCCGTTATATGTAAGACTGAAATCGTGAGATCATAAAATAAAAGTAAAGAAAAACAAATTTAATTTTTAACTTTTTAATTATTTTTTTATTAACTTAATTTTTAATTCAATTAATTTCCTCATAAATTAACTTGTATCTTAACTAAATTAAATTTTCAAGATTGTCAATTTTAACTTAACTTAAGTTAAAAAAAAAGTTAACTTACCCAACTCTGAGTCTAATAATTAAAACCTAAAGATCACGCAAAAACAGTTTAAAGAAACATGCTCGGTCCACAATCTTTCTTTCAGAGACTGTAACCCATAAAGACTTAAGAAATTGACTAATCACAGTTGAATATGAAAAAAATAATCGACTATGATTGGTCAATTTCTTACAGCCTACAGCCGACTTACAGCCTCACATACAAAAATACTATCACTATACGTTATGTATATTACCGATTTTTTAGATACGATATAGATTCAAGAATATCTGTTCTGATTCAAGAGATCTGTTTCTCTTTCGCATTCCCCTTCGTTTTCCATCTTTCCGCAATCGCGTCGGACGGAATCAAGAACGAGACGTGCTCTAATTTCCCCGAGAATGTTTCACGTGAGAACAGCCGAAAAACAGATCGACCTCTCATCAACGGTAGCGTGGCCGAGCGGTCTAAGGCGCTGGTTTAAGGCACCAGTCTCTTCGGAGGCGTGGGTTCGAATCCCACCGCTGCCATTTTTTTTTCCCTCCCACCCGCGGATGGCACGTCGCGTTGTGCCGTAGCCGCGGCCTCGCGGCGACCGCACGTCGTGTGCGATTAACGAGACGCAATGGTAGCGTCTCCTTCGAAGGTCCAATGGGTTGCGTCGGCACGCGGCGCCGTGGTTCACACCTATCAGGCTTACATGCGCTACGAGTAGGCTAACGTCTCAGTTGTTCTGTGCGCGCGACATCTGCGGAAGAAAAGGGCCACTTTAACGAGCTTGACCGAGTCGAACGAGCAGAGAGCTGCCCATCGAGAACAATCGGCATAAATATTAGCTCAAGAATTAAATAGTCGTAATATAAATTAGATTTGCTCATCTCCTCTGAGGGATGGCAAATTTTCTTATAAACTTCTCCTAATATACACCCAAGCAGAACAAGTCACGATAACGTTAAAATTACGTTAATAAATCATAAAATGAATCGTAAATAATTGAAAAATGATTTTTAATGATTATTTTGAAATTACTTTGACATAATATTGAATCATGAAGACTTGTTCTACTTGGATACATCTCAAAATAAGCTCAAAATCAGGATAAGAAATTATGTACTATTCAAACGAGGAATAAGTCTGTTGATGAAACGAATGTTTTCATTTCATAATAATAATGCAAGCGAATTTATACAAGTGTGCAAATCTCAATTAAGGATTTTGATTCCGTTTTATTTCTTTTGTCGATATATTATTGACGCTTGTTTTTCAAGTAACGTAATGAACAATTAAAAATATGATCTACGATCTGGGAATCGCTTTCGAAAGAACAAGACGGAATTCTAAAGTGCGAGATATGATACGGAGTAAAGGAACATATATATATGCTCCTTACGGAAATTCGTTCACGGAGTTCGTTCCTCATGCTCTTGCAAGCAGATGGGATCCTGTTGATGTTGTTGTCGTCGGGGGCTCGCCATTCCTGCTCGTTTCAGTTAAAGGGGATCGTTATTGAACGCTTATGAAACGGCGAAGGGGAGAACGGAACGGACGACTGATATAGCAATAATAATAATAACGATGTCGTAGGAAAAAGGAGAACGGAAGTGTGCTCCGA